GCATAGGCATTCATTTTTTTGCACCAAAAAATTTCCTGCTTTTATGATTCTCACTGACTGGTAATCAGTATAACATCTCATTACATATAGGTTTCCCAATCCAGTGCTGGGTGCCGGCAACATTTACGGAACCAATGGAACAGTATACGGAGAATTACTGTTGGGTACAAAATACTTATTTCCTGCCCCTGCATGATTATATCCCTCATAATTATGCTGAACGGGAAAACAGGCAGATTGGTTATTATCAGTGGGTACCATTTGTGCTTGCGCTGGAAGCATTGCTCTTCTATGTACCTACAATCGTTTGGAGGCTGCTCAGCTGGCAGTCAGGTTCGTTTTACTCAATATCTAAGTTTATACGTAAAATATAACAGCAGCTAAAGTTTGAGCATTTTATCAGATCAAGAAAAATCGCCGATTTTGCATGCGGTACGCGAACGTTGCAATCTTACAAATATCTGAATTTCACAGCCATTCGCATCAATAAATGATCGAAACTGCTGATAAAATCAAAACAATTCAGAGAAGCTTTAAGCCCCCACCCTCGATCCACACATTATTTTTTGCAGTCTTTCATTCTTCATATTTATTCTCTGTAAACTGATATGTTACTTTTTAGATTCTAATTTGTCATAAAAATGTTGCATGGGAAGCAAATTTTTCTTTACTTTGTGAAACCTCTAAAATATAATATTTTTAATCAGTATTACAGGTATCCATGTGCAGTCACTGGTGCAAATGGCGTGCGACTCGCGGTTACTTGATTTGGACTCCAGAAACAGGGCTTTACAGACCATTGCTACAAATGTCGAGGAGGCACTTCATGTAAAACATCAAGTGGTTCGTGCAGTTTTTATTTTTTTTAAGTGGAAAGTATGGGGAATTGATTTGCCATGGAGCATCTTAGAACTTAGAAAGGCATGCAGAAGTGAATCCAGAACGTTTCCGCTCGAAACCTTCAGGCCAGTTTGCTTCGTGTTCGCGATTCGGTTCTAGGAGCTTTTACTGCGTGTCTCAAATGATGGGTACGGCGGGGATGGAAGAGGGGGGTAAGGTCAGGGAAGCCGCCGCAAAAAGTTACACATTTCCATCCATGACCGTTCGACAGTTGCGTGGCACTGTTATTTAATACCTAATTATATCTGCTTTACTTTGCCTTAATTCAGAAATCAACACTCATTAATTTTAATCCATAATGCAATTTTTATACATCTATATTGTTTTTTTTCCAAACTTTGATTTGTTTTAACTGAGAATTTTCTAGATTTGATTCAATTATACCTATGAACAGCTTAGCTGAATTCATCTAATCCGGATTTAAAAAAGTTCAACTCCTCCTGAGCTTCTAAATATTTTCAGATGGGTGGGAATCGATTGAAACTGCTAAATTTGATTATTTGTACACGGAGCAGTGGTGCTGCTGTGACATTTTTGTACATTTCGGTGAAAATTCTTTATACGGTAAATATCGTGGGACAAATTTTTTTGCTCAACACGTTTTTGGGCAATCGCAGCAGGTGGTACGGATTGCAGGTTCGCCTTGCTTTCAGTTCTGAGTTTCCTTCTTTGTTCACGGTCTTGTTTGCGTTTTAAAACATAACTAGCCATCAATTATGACAGCTCGGATTTCCTTCTTTTTGTCCGTCAAGCATTTTCGCTTCGAGCAATAGGGTGTTGTTGGGAAGGAGTGCTGAAGTTGCTGAGCTGAATTCATTTCAGTACTTCACAGTTTTTGGTCAAAAACAAAAACAGCAGTTTCGCTTTTATGCGATTTGCAGAATGTTTAATGCACAGATAAGAAATCCTACTTATTGTTTTAAGACGCATGCTTCTACTTGAACATGCTAGCACAGTGATGCATTTTGTGCTAAATTCCACGCTGCTGTGAGCGGAATATACGAACATGCAGCGTACCTTTTTCCGCGAACCGAAATTCATCTTGTATTATGTACTGTTAAAAATCAACTCATTCAGTGCCGTAAGATTAAAGCATTTTGCAAAAGTAGCGTCGATGAATTTGAAACTCGGCAGTTATGATAAATACTGGTAAGCTCTATCAAATTCAACAACTCATCAGCTCTGCATTGTACAGGTGCTAAATGATTTGATGAATGGACGTGAATGGGAAGAATCGGGGCATTTCCCTCGCGTTACACTATGCGATTTCGAAGTCAAGGTTGAACCTTTACTGTGATAAGCTTTGTTTGCACAACTGAATTAAACTTAAACACTCTCCACATTTAAATATAGTTTGTAGCGGAATATGTTCCTTGGGTGCCAGACTCATTAGTAGCAGCAAGCGACTCACAGAAGCGGTGTAAAATATTACAACCATCACATTGTTTTTTGAAAACCCGTAGGCGTATACAGAAGCTGCAAAGGTCTGGGACCATTCGAAGCTCACAGAAAGATTGCAATTACGGGTGTTATCTGATTTTGAAGCGTTGCGGGTTCGCTTTGTTCGGTCTCGAGCTTTCCTCCGTGTTCCTGCTCCACTCCAGGGCATTCCTTAGCGCAGCTGTTCCTGAAGCGAGCAGTTTGATTTTGACAGTTTCCAATCGTCTGCCTTTCGAACTCTTGTTTCAGTCAATCTGATACTGATTGCAGGTACTGGGTAATGTTCATCGGCATACAGTGCAATGTGTTTTGATGATAAATATGTTCAATGAGAAGATATTTTTGTTTCTATGGTTTTGGTATTTCTTGCTTGCCGGTGCGACTGTTTGCTCGCTTTTTTACTGGATCTACATCTCCATTGTTCCCAGCAGGTTTGATTCATTTCTTGGCTCATTATGTAGAATTGAGTAGCCCTAAGGATATAATGATCTGGGTTCGATTTCACCCGTGGTTTGTTGCGCGCGTTTAAATACGCTGTTACTAAAACTAGAAATTTGAAAGTGTTTGAAAGAATGCGTAAGATGGCTCAAAAGTTGGATTCAAAAATGCAGCAGTTTTATGCGGTTTGCCATTTTTTAAGCAACCAACGTATAAATGATGCATTGGTCTATAGAAATCAACTGTTGTCAAAGTCGTGACCCGGAAGTGTTTCGCAGTTCCAAAGTGGCACTTAAAAGTAGTTTGAGTGATGATGCTGCAGTTGAT